GTGTGTGTGTGTGTGTGTGTGTGTGTGTGTGTGTGTGTGTGTGTGCATTTACCTCCAATGGGGATGGGCGTTTTGTCTTGCAGTCTCTGTCAGTGCAGAGGTCTTCAACAGCCTGAGCTATTGCTTTAACCGCCAGTTCTATACTGAACACAGCAGATGGATATATCATAGTCTTTAACTTCTCTGATGAAGTCGACCCATGCTGCTTTAAAAATGTAGACAAGAATGGGTTGTTGTTGTGGTGGCTTGGATTTTCATCAAGGTCATCGAGATATCGCTTCAACTTGGTTGTGTTTCCAGATTTAAAAGTGATCCCAATGATTGTTCCTATGTCACTCAAAGTATGTTTTTTTGTATTCAGTATTTCAGGTGATTGTGACCAAATATCACTGGCCAACCAAATTCTCCTTGTTCCTTGAGGATCATTGAGAAGTTTTTGAAAAATATACATCATATGGTCAGGTTTCGCGAAGGACACAATGACACTGACGTTTTCATTATCTATGATGGTTTTGACTGTAGACTCAATGCTCTTTCCCAGCAAATAATCATTTAAATTATCTGGAAGAACAGAGGTGAAGGCGAAGCAGATGCCTTTTTGGTTTGTATAGTACCAGAGCCGCTCAGTTATATAGCGAGCATATTCACCATCGGTTGTCAGCACACCGACCCAAGTCCATCCATTATTATCAAGAATCTCGGAGATGGCACGAGCTTGGTGATTATCTTGTGGTACAGTCCTCATAAAGCTTGGAAAACGGGTTTTATCACTTAGAAGGCCAGAGGTTGCACCATAACTTATCTGTGGAAATAATCACAAAACATTGTTTGGACAAGTGAAACATGCTTTTCATATTCTGCCTGCATTCATTCTTTTACAGTGCAAGGATATTTATGGTTATGTTTTACAACAAGTTTGAAAAAATTAAGCACTGTATTATCACAGCTTGTTAGCTGAGTACAGAATGGAAAGGTATATCAGGTCATTTCATCCATTCTCTGAATAATAGCTGCTGCTGTTTGATTAACAGACTTTACATTCAGTGATAACTACTACTACTAATCATCATCATCATCATCATAATCATAATAGACCCAAATAGTCAGTCATACCTCAGGTATATATTCCAGGTTGAGTAGCCTTGTAACTGCTATGGCTATCTCTGAGTAGTAACCACCAATGACAGCAAGGACAGGGGAAGACTGCTGTGCACTAGTGTTACCTGCAAAAATGTATTCAGTGACACAATTACTGGCATTTACATTAACTTATATTAAGACAGTAGGATTACAAACAGTTACATTTACATTTACCTAAACTGTGGGCAAAATTTTTTATTTAGGTGTAAATTTGACTAAGTGTAGCTTTTCAGCATGTACATAATATTACTTTTACGAAACTACAATTAAGACAAAGGAATTAATCAAACCGACTAGCCAGAGAATTCTCATATTTTTCACTTTTTTCCCCCTCAGAGTACTCACAGTTTCCCCTCATAAAGGACGGGATTTTTCTCAGGGAGGTAGTAACGTCACCACAGGAGTCAAGTATAAGATATCCCAAGGTGAGGTTCCCCAACTCTTGCTTCTGATTTATCTCCTCCAGCGCCTGCACCATTATCAGAGACTGGACCAGGTTAGCCGTGCTAAACCTGCATGACACAATCAGATATGTTATATACAAATATACCCTAATTTAATACACACTTTGACACTCATTGCTAAAGAGTAACAGCACCTGTCACATATCTGGTTTTCACTGCCATCATAATTCACAGTGACATTAATGCTTTCGTGAATCGGAAACAATCCTCCAATAATGATGTCGCCTTCTGCTGTGGCCTGTTCGAAGGATTTGGTACCATGGTGTGATAAAACTACAAAAAAGATGCAGAAGCTGAAAGAATGTTTCATCTTCCTCCAGCTGTCCATCTTGTTAGTAGAAATCTTCTTCGAATAATCTCCGAAAACGTGCTCTGAAAAATCACTTGTGTGTATCCCTTCAGTGTGTTTGCAGAAGACAGAGCTGTGGATAAACCTCTTTAACTTGAAATACTGCTTATCTTTTTTTTTTTCTTTTTTTTTTTTTGGGGGGGGGGGCTTTTTATGGTCACATGGGGTTTGATGTCACTTCAAGACATGGAATGTGAAAATGTTATCGCTACTTCCAGGTAATTATTCTGATAAGTTTCAGTGTGGTTTAAAAAAAAAAGGTAAGAAGTATTTGGACAGGTGTTGTATTGACATTACTCATATCCACTGTGTATAAAGATAATTTGGCTTACAGTTCAGTAAACCAATCTGTTGGCAGTGCTGTTATATAATACTGACATACTATCCTACTATACTTGGCGAGACAATGCTAGGTATTTCCCCAATAGGCTTAAAAATAATTCTATAGATGCTAAAGTAAGAAAAAGAAGTAAGAGGGCTCTGGTGCCAAATTCTTAACTTATGTCTTATCTGTAACACTTGTTTGTGACTTTGACTGTGATCTTTAATCAGGTTAAACAAGATTTGTTGCACACACCTCTGGTCTCTCATTTCCTGGTCTCTCTTGGCTGCTTTTCTGATTTTATTGCCTCAACAAAACCCCAAATTGTTCTGTTACAAAAGATCACAAGAAGAATATGTAAAAAAAAAAAAAAAAAGCATTATATTAATACAAGTGAAAATGTGCTACTAAAAATAAATAAGGCTACAAAATATCCAAGCATAGAAAGTATCTAAATTCGTTTAAGCTTAATTTATAGATTTATGTGCTTTTTGATACTCCACTACATCTAATACTTTTACTTAACTACATTCACATCAATGCTGCTGTTAGCAGTCTCTTTGAGGATTTAAAAGTGTGTATTTACACATAAAAGTGCTGTCCATCCATTTTCTTCCATGTACACAATTCAGGGACACTTGAGCCAGAGCCAGTCCCAGATGCCACGGGGGAAGAGGTTGGGTGAAACCTGTACAGGCTGCCGATCTGTTGGAGAGCTAACAAAGAAAGGCAGACAAATGTTCATGCTCACATTCACACCTATGGACAATTTAGAATCAACCTAACCACCCTATGCATGTTTGGATTGTGAGAGGAAGCATGTGTACCGAGGGACAACTCAAGCACAGATTCCACACAGAAAGTCCCCGGCCTGGATTTTAACAGTGGACTTTTCTACTGTGAGCCAATGGTGCTAACCATCATGCCGCCCCATTAAAATGAGTAATCATCACACAGTTGCTGCAGCTTTGTTTGTAAAATATCATGATGTGAATTTCCTGTTCCACTTTAGATTGAAATCTCTTGACCTTGGATGCCATTTGAGTACAAAGCACTCTTTGTTAAGTACAGTGAACCAGTCTGACAAAGTTTAAGGTTTCTGATATGGTGCATTATCCTGCTGAAAGTAGTCAGAGATGATCATAAATTAATGGACATGGTCAGGTATAATACTCAAGTAGTCTGTGGTTTTTAATGATCCTCAATTGGTAACAAAGGGCCCAAAATGTGCAAGAGAAAATATCATCTACACATTATAATACCAGCAGGAGCAGCGGCCCGATGGAGCTGTTTTTTCATGTTGTTCGCACCAAATTGTGATCCTATCACTTGCATGTTACAGTAGAAATAGAGACTCGTCAGACCAGGCAACGTTTTCCCAATCTTCATCAGTTTTGGTGAGCCTGTGTGAATTGAAACCTCAGTTTTCTCCTCCTAGCTGACAGCGAAAAGGAGAAAACTGAGCCATGGTGTGGTTTTCTGCTCATATACAGTGGGGCAAAAAAGTATTTAGTCAGCCACCGATTGTGCAAGTTCCCCCACTTAAAATGATGACAGAGGTCAGTAATTTGCACCAGAGGTACACTTCAACTGTGAGAGACAGAATGTGAAAAAAAAAATCCATGAATTCACATGGTAGGATTTGTAAAGAATTTATTCGTAAATTAGGGTGGAAAATAAGTATTTGGTCACCTCAAACAAGGAAAATCTCTGGCTCTCACAGACCTGTAACGTCTTCTGTAAGAAGCTTTTCTGTCCCCCACTCGTTACCTGTATGAATGGCACCTGTTTGAACTCATCATCTGTATAAAAGACACCTGTCCACAGCCTCAAACAGTCAGACTCCAAACTCCGCCATGGCCAAGACCAAAGAGCTTTCGAAGGACACCAGGAAAAGTATTGTAGACCTGCACCAGACTGGGAAGAGTGAATCTACAATAGGCAAGCAGCTTGGTGTGAAAAAATCAACTGTGGGAGCAATCATCAGAAAATGGAAGACATACAAGACCACTGATAATCTCCCTCGATCTGGGGCTCCACGCAAGATCTCATCCCGTGGGGTCAAAATGATCATGAGAACGGTGAGCAAAGATCCCAGAACCACACGGGGGGACCTGGTGAATGACCTGCAGAGAGCTGGGACCAAAGTAACAAAGGTCACCATCAGTAACACACTACAACGGCAGGGAATCAAATCCCGCAGTGCCAGACGTGTTCCGCTGCTGAAGCCAGTGCATGTCCAGGCCCGTCTGAAGTTTGCCAGAGAGCACATGGATGATACAGCAGAGGATTGGGACAATGTCATGTGGTCAGATGAAACCAAAGTAGAACTTTTTGGTATAAACTCAACTCGTCGTGTTTGGAGGAAGAAGAATACTGAGTTGCATCCCAAGAACACCATACCTACTGTGAAGCATGGGGGTGGAAACATCATGCTATGGAGCTGTTTTTCTGCCAAGGGGACAGGACGACTGATCCGTGTTAAGGACAGAATGAATGGGGCCATGTATCGTCAGATTTTGAGCCAAAACCTCCTTCCATCAGTGAGAACTTTGAAGATGAAACGAGGCTGGGTCTTCCAACATGACAATGATCCAAAACACACCGCCCGGGCAACAAAGGAGTGGCTCCGTAAGAAGCATTTGAAAGTCCTGGAGTGGCCTAGCCAGTCTCCAGACCTCAACCCCATAGAAAATCTGTGGCGGGAGTTGAAAGTCCGTGTTGCTCGGCGACAGCCCCAAAACATCACTGCTCTCGAGAAGATCTGCAAGGAGGAATGGGCCAAAATACCAGCTACTGTGTGTGCAAACCTGGTGAAGACCTATAGTAAACGTTTGACCTCTGTTATTGCCAACAAAGGTTATGTTACAAAGTATTGAGTTGTATTTTTGTTATTGACCAAATACTTATTTTCCACCCTGATTTACCAATAAATTCTTTACAAATCCTACCATGTGAATTCATGGATTTATTTTTCACATTCTGTCTCTCACAGTTGAAGTGTACCTCTGGTGCAAATTACTGACCTCTGTCATCATTTTAGGTGGGGGAACTTGCACAATCGGTGGCTGACTAAATACTTTTTTGCCCCACTGTAGCTTCTTTGTTCAGTGGTTCAATGTGTTGAACATTTAGAGATGCTCTTCTGCATACCTCAATTGTAACAAGTGGCTATTTGAGTTCGTGTTCCCTTCCTATGAGTGGAGAGAGTCATTCTCCTCTTAGATCAAAAAGCCAGAGAACTGTTGCTCACTGGATATTTTCTCTGTTTCAGACCATACTCTATAAACACTAGAGATAGTTGTGTGGTAAATTCCCAGTAAATCAGTAGTTTCGAAATACTCAAACCATCCCATCCGGCACCAACAATTATGCCATTTCATTCCCATTTTGTTGCTCGGCCATCTTAACCATGCCTACTTGCCTAAATGCTCTGAGATGCTGCAATGTGATTGGCTGATTAGATATTTCTCTTAACAAGCAGTTGAACAAGTGGTCCTAATGAAGAAGAGATAAAATTCTCGAAGATCAAAGTTCATTTTTTTTAATGGGTTAAGGAGCAACCTTATGCTACTGTCACACATATGAAAGAGGAAGTTAAACAGAAGTATCAGGTTATCAGTAACATTCTTGCATCTATCCAGTGCACTGAATGTCAGTTTCACTACATGTCTCTTGATTGATTCTGACAATATAACAATTACAAGTTTTTTTTCTGATAACTAAATACAAAATGGAAGAAGGAAAGTCAGATTTATTATTTTTATTACATATGATTTCACTGTTAAAAGGCACTGCTTTACTTATTTAAATCACTATGTCAACATGAAAACTGGAACATGGAGCATCTGACAGAAGTTGTGTCACAAAAGTCATCTGATGTAAAAAAAAAAAAAAAAAAAAATCTGCCAAATCATGCTCGTGGAGCTACTTGCTGTGGTGACCGCTTGTGAATAAATGAGAAGCGGAAAGTATCTACTTCTTTATAAGATGCCACAGTCCTGTTGTTCTCTGCTTTTGTTACTCGTCGAATATCAAACTTGAGCATTATTCTCTTGTGAATAACTTTGTATTAGCAACATAGACTGTATAAAAGGATAAGCATGCAGTCTGTAGAGAAATATGATGTGTATGATGTGAGTTTGAAGAAGTGCTTGTTGTTTGTGGCCTGAGAGCAGTTTCAATTCTAGTGTGAAAAACCTGAAGTAGAGCTTTAGATACATTATAATTACAATTGCAAAAGTGACTTACAGTACAATATCCCGCGAACACACTGAGGCGTCATGTTCAAAGCAAACTAGTTATTTCATACAGTGCAGCACATGTTTGCATAACAATGACAATGAAAATACTTAAATTAAAAGTGAAACAGAATTATAACAGGCCGCCAATTTAAATCTGTTTACTTGTCGTAATGTTGGAGCTGTGCTACGTTTTACACAAACTAAGCAGCCATGCTGTGTATTTCAATCAGCAATATTGTTCACAAACTAATGTTAATAACCATACATACAAACCAACTCACTCTATGTACTTCCCAGGTTTTGAGACTTTTATCACTTTCTTTGTGCCATTTCTTTCCCACATTTTCTTACAATAGCATTCACACAACTGTAAGGCCTTAAATATAGTCATGTCAGTTGAAAGTCTGCACAGGGTGGATTTTCCAGTCTCCTACCTGCTTCTCTGCAGGTTTTAAAGGTGTGAAAGGACTTTTGTCATTC